TACATTTTATGTGTTTTCACCTTTGGGGAAAAAGTTACAGTGATTTAGGAGAACTTTTCCCAGTACACTTTATTTCCTTAGAAATGTAAACATACTACTGTTTTATGATGTTTTAAAAGAAATTAGTTTGTGTTTCCAAACTTCCCACTTCATTGGTATCTAAAAACAAAATCACATGCAGTCAAAATTGCAATAAATAAAAATGTTTAAAATTGTATTTTAAATCCTAGAATAACTGGGAATCTTCTGTATTCCATGTGAAAAGAGAGGATCAGTAGTGAATACAACCAAGAAAATATCTTTCTTTCTGGCTATAACAGTGGTATATTAAATCTTTTCTCTCCCATATACCCCTTGGCAGGACCATAAATTAACATTCTCTCAGAAAGGGGTTAGGTTTTGCTAACTGGAGAGCAGTTAGTCCATGAACCCTGGTGTAAAAGAATTTAACACCATGAGGAAATTTCCCACAATTGTAATTTTTCACTTCCTGTGCAACTGAGATGCACTGGCACTCACCATTGTGCAGAAAATTGTATTTAATTTTCTTTCTCCAAAACTTATAACTCCTTGTAGAGTATACACTGGTAGAAATACTTTGGTAACCCATCAGCTACACACTCTTATAAGCCTTATTCACAGCAAACTGAGTGATACATACTGTATCAAAGTGATAGCAAAACTCCATTTTTTTAAACTGAAGATAGATGATTTACCAATTATTCATAACTGAAAATAATATGTTAGTTTTCTGAACACCGGAGTTTCAATAAGTTTGGTTTGACTCAGCATGTATGGAAATAAAGTATTCTATTAAAATCAATAACAAATTGCCTTCATACTTTGTGCTTCTCTGAGTAGACTTAAAAAAATCCTGTGGAAATGCCAGAATTTTAATATGTTTGTTTTCCAGCATTAGCCAGAACCACCTCCAAAATATCCATGGCTGGACTTGATAATGCAGGCAAGGTGAACTTTGCAGGTGGCATGCCTGAAGAACCATTCTAATATCCATGAGTTTGTTGGATTTGGGTTCTGCCGCGGTGTAGCAGTACTTCTACGCTAGAGCTGTGCCTTTTGCAGTAATGTTTTCTGAAGAAGTCAAAAAGGAAAACCAATTGACGGAAAAGTTTTTGGGAGATCAGTACTTATCAGATAAAATGGTTGTTTGAGTAATGAAGAAAATCATTGAATAAGTGCTCCATACCTAGAGATAACAGAGATTCAGAAGAAAGGCTTTGATGGATTTAAATGGGTTTGAATAAGTAGGATTTTAATGTACAATCCTGAGCAACAGCACTTATGGGAACATCATTATATCATATTAAGATATCTATTAATCAGAGGGGGAAAGTTTAGCAGAATATTCTTCGGGCTTGGCACCCACCAACATTCAAGGTGACCCCATTTCTGTAAAATTATTCAAAATGTATAGGGAAAAACGCTTCTATTATTAATACACAGTATTTTAGGCATTTTCTTTTACAACTCTCATAGTTGCATTTTAAAGATTAAAAAAAAAAGGAAACAAAAATCCCTGGTGCCAATTAAATAGGAGGCAGATTCTGCTACCCTTACTCTTACTCATAATGAGTCATGCTTTATTCTATGATATTCCCAGTTTAATCAATGGGACTGCATATGAAATAAGAGTTTTTATGGTATAAAGTCTTAGGTGAAGTTTGAATAATATAGAAATGCTCACGTAGTACAGTGCAATCAGTGTAGTTCCTACATTTAAAATGTCTTCACTATGTAGTGATAGCATTAAGCTAATAGGATATATTTTAAAAATATCATAGACAATATCTTGCTTTTCAAACTTTCCCAAATAGCTCATCTCAATTTTGTTTAAAAAAAAAAAAGAATATGGTCCTTGAACAATATTGAAGCGCTCTATTTTTTTTAATGTTAAATGAAGAGCTGTATAAAATATGTCATGGACAAATATAAACTTTATGTCCTATTGGAAAGCACATGTTATATGCATTTAGTTAAGGTTGCAAGCTTGTTTTCATATAGTATATAAACAGGATGTAGCAGATTGTGGGTTCGTAAGCTTCCACAAAATTCAAAATTGCATTAAAACTCCCTGCCAACTCTGAAGTAAGGATGACATTTTTGTCTCTTGTACTTGGTCTTTTTAAGAAAGAAGGATGACCAGTCACGTAGCCTATAGAAGCACGTATCTCCAGCCAATGACAAGGAAGCACTAAGAGTGACAACTGCTGCCCTCTTGTGTAGGGAGTGAACAAGTGTCAGTCTTTGCAGGTGAGGGGCCGAGACTTTAGATGTTATATTCACTACATTGCATCTCTCCACATTTATCATTATCATTATGCTGGCATGGAACTACTGAAAATTCCAGTACCAAAGTAAAATAAAACTAATTAATTATAGCTACTGGAAACTTTAATTCTAGGATAACACTAAATAATAACAAGGAAATGGTATTGCATAGAACACTCTCTTTTCTAGATGAAGAAATGTAGACTATAAGTGTACTGACTTGGTGTTATAAGTGCAGTGGTTCTGAAGGTGCCTGTCATACTGTAGGACAATAGTCACTTTTGCAATGCACATATATTTACTCTATTTCACTTGGCAAATCATATCTTTTGTACTACAAAATTATTAATATTTTATAGCTGCAAACTAAATAAAGATGCATCCAGAACTAAATTTATCAAAAATACCCTCTCCTAATTTTTCGGACTATATATAAAAATTACTGGGCTGAATGAAGTCCATTTTGGCTTATCCCTCCCACTGAGCCGGTACTATTCCCCCAACATCAAATATTGTTTTGGTTTGAACTTTTAAAAATATGATTTATACTAGCTGCTCCCTTTTTACTTTTATAGTTCATTCAACATTTTACATATTGTTAAACAAAATTCTCTCCAAATTCATCTTGTTTTTATAATTCCTTAGCTAACATTTAATGCCTTGTCTCTCATACCTGCTACTAATTTAAATGGATCTCTTATCCCGTTATCTACACACTTTTCTCTGCAGAATTTGTTTACAGCACTGACATTCCCCGTGAATTTTTTCCCCAACGATGATAGATTTAGTTCATTTAAAGTTTTATTAGACCTTTCAGTCTCTTTATCTTTCTGCTTGCGATCTGCACTACCTTTTATTGTGAGTTTTAGATAATAAAGATTGGATTGTATTACCATTCCTCATGTTCATGTACCATTCACTCAAAGCGATAACAAGTCAAAAAGGATTTCTTGTGGGACAGAGTATTATTCAGTTCAAGTACTACAATCTGCCTCAAAGTGATCAGTATTCCAGGTTTAAAGATCATACATATTTTTGTCTTATGGTTAAACTCTGCTTAAGTGATCTAGATTGTTATTTTTTGTTGTCATCTCTGCATGGATTATCCCTATTTTGAAAACTAATATTTGTAAGATATCTCGTACATTGGGATGGCATATGTTATGACCATTGCTGGTAAAGTCCCATGTGTCTAGCTTCCTTGGATCATAAGCCAAGCCAGTCTGAAATGTCCATTCCATTTATCTAATCGCCCCAATGCCCATCCTATTATGAGTGGCGACTGGCAGTAAGTCTAGTTCCTTTTTAAATCAATTGCAAGATTCCCATTGATTTTTTATGGGTGAGAAGGGGGTCAATAAATGTAACAATGATCTCCCTTATATAAATGTTTTAGTTGTTGATGTTACATTGTCTTGCTTGCAGTTTATTAGTATCTCCTTGCAAATGTGGATTTTCAATATATTTACTATAGGTTCCTCTGCATCCTTTGGCAAGCCCATTAACAAAGAATAACTGAAATTTCTCAGGATCCCAATTCCCTCAGTTTCTTTCTTGTCTTTCCCTGATTATTATCTGACTGTTTTTGACATCTCTGCTCTATTGACTGTATGAGCAAGACAAGAACCCTGTCTTTCTTGTAGTCATGCCTATTACTTCAGTAGTCTGTCAGCCTTGCTACCCTAGAATCTTTACATTCTCCTTTATTTTCCTAATGTACCCACAGGCTTTTTGAAATTTCACCACAACCACCATGCAGTATTTGTATTCCTTACAACTCATATTTTTACACTCACCTAGTTGTATTTTACAGCCAGCCTTGCAGTAATTTTAGGGCAGTTCCTCCTGTATATCTAACCCACTCTGAGTCTCCTCTTCATGGTGTATGTACTTTTACATAACCATAGGATTAAATTTGTTTGTCTTGGGCCACTCGCAGCCTCTTTCTGCATTTCCTTTTCACTAATTGTTTCCTAATTAACTCTCCCAGCCATTTTATGCAATCTTCCAAAATGTAATTGCCACTCAAAGTATCTTCAACCTCTACATCAATTCTGTATTGCTCAAAAGAAACTGAAAAATAACCCCTTTTCGGTTCCTTCCTTTAAATACTGTATAAGTAAATATTATATCTATGTAATCGTAAGTATATTGCTCAATTTACATATTTCAAGTCAAGCATGTGTACAACTAGGAATATGAGTATGCAAAGAAGTAACAATTCTGAGAATCATTCTCTTTTCTTCCTTTTGGCCACCCATGGATGCAGCGAGCAGCATTAAATAGCTAGAGTTTACTGGAATAAACAAATCACCAAAGATACAAATTTTAATGCACATTTTAAATGTATATATTCCATGTTTTTATATGTAGGGAGTGCATAGCAGTTAAAGTTGTCCAAGACCTATGGGGTATGTGCAATTCAGAGGGTTCCTTTGGGAGCATTTTTCATCAGCCAAGTCCTACACAGTGTGCGTGTCTACATGTGCAATTAATGGACCTAAATTTTCTGCACAGAAAATTCAGGCATATTATACTGGGCTTCCATATGCATCTGAACGTGTGCCTGTTGGGAGCAAATTGCCTCTCAACCAGAGCAGTTCAGTGTAGGGCGGCAGTCTAGGGTTTAGGACAGGGTTTCAGTTCAGTTCAGGGCTGGCTCTCAGCTGGAGC